TTATGTTCTGTATCTGGTTATGTTAATGTTCACTCAGATGAGCATGGACCTCATCTTATGATGTTGATGTAGGAATTTATCTAATTAAGTGAAAGTTAGGGTAGCTCAGTCTCTATTACTATCTTAACAGAAAAAAAGTCAAAGGTAAATTTTAGGAATAAGTGTTTCCCTTCAATTACAACATCAATAACTTTTACTTTTGCAATGTATTACCACAACTTCATGTTGCAAGCTTTTCAGAGAGGTGTAAGAAAAGATGGATGCAAAAAGAATGATGTTAGGAATGATAGGCAGGATGACTAAAAAACTGGACAGATATAAGATTTAAGGAAGGTCTGTGAAGAGGTTAGATAAAAGCTGAAAGAGATTAGCAAATGAATTCCAAAGAGAGTGGTCGAGGTGGAAGTGATTGAATAGAGGTAACAGAGGCATGGATAAGGGTTTCAGTGACAAATGACCTGCGTAGCGACAGAGTTAGCAATGTTATGAAACTGGAAATAGGAGCTTTTGGTGATGGAGAGGATAGGGATCAGCTCAGGATTGAGCAGGATGCCAAGATGGGAGCCAGACTGGTTCAGCCTTTGACAGACACTGATCAGAGATATGGACTGCATGGCAATAGACAGAATTTATAGAAGGGTTTCAGTTGATGGTTTTGGTCTTTCTCATGTTTACGAGAAGAAACCTGTGTCACATACAAAGCAAGAAGACAACACAGGGAGCCAAACTGTAAAATGAGATAAGGGTGAGGTATGGGCAGACTACACGTAGATGCTGACTCCAAATTTATGAATAATGTCACCAAGGGCAGTATTTAAATGAAGAAGAGAAGATGGCCAAAAATGAATTACTTGGGGTTCCACATGTCCACTAATAGGGTTGGGAAGAAAAATTATTGCACAAGATGCTCTGCTTCAATTAGGTTAGTGTGGAGCGAAGTAGGAGTTAGTCCCCTGAACTAAACATAGGACCAGAGGAATTGAAGAAGAATGCAATGGTCAACCATGTCAAAAGTTGCAGAGAGATAACAGTGAGTTCAGGGCTGGAGTTGAGGGAAGCTGGGAAGAAGTCTTGCTTTGATGTCAAGGTCTAATTCTCTCTTGCATGAGCAGTGTAAATGATGTCAGATTGGTGCTCAGGAGTCAGACAAGTACAGAAGAAGCTTCTAGAAGTATGGTGAGTGAGGATGGGGTAAGCATCCATCAGGGGAAGGAAGCCCTGTGCCCTCAATTTCTTTGTGGATCTCAGGATGATTCCCAGTCTGCCATGAACTGCAAGGAAGCCATTTTAAAACAAATCTACCTGTGTATTATTCTGGACCTGTTGCCCTTTTAAGTATAGTCCTCCTGGCAAGGCCCTCACTGTGGCCAAAGGTTAAAATTTTATTTGAGCCTGAATTATGTCATCATTTATTGTGGTTTCGGCTTCAGTGAAACCTTCTCCTTCCTAGTGTGAGGGCCTGACCTGCTAGCCAGGACAGACCTGTTAAAATGACACATGTGAAGTCAGCGAGATTTACGTGAACAGATCTCCATGAGCATTTTTACATTCAACAATGGTGTAGTCTATCCAGAGCCAATCTGTTCCCTTTGAACTTAATCGATCAAATCTGGGGCCTTACTGATGGGAATGTCAGGGCTGAGTCTGGTGAAAGAAAGCTGAAGCAATGGCTGACTAACAGCAGAATTAATGTGATATAGAGCAAAAAGCAAGGGAATTAGGAGTTTGAAAAGGCAGATGTAGTTGATATAGAGGAGAAGTGTCAATGCCAGGTGCTGACACAGAATTGAAAGTGGGTAGGCAGATGTCAGCAATCAAGATTGCAGGAGTGGCGATGTAATTTCCTTTTATATCCTTTTTGTGAGCAGCATTACTCCCCAGAGAGCATGCTCATAAAAATTAACTCATCTTTATCAAAAACTGATTTGGTAAATGATTATTTTATGCTCAATACTGTTACTGAAATATCTGAAAATGCTTCACACTTTGAAGTGCAGTGTTTGTTGTTGGGAGAATGTTTTTTGCATTTTTAATTGTCAGCAACTGAGTGATGAAATTACTTAATTGAAACACACTCTGCAATGGTGTTAAAATAATGTTTTACATCTACATGTCTAAATGTGGGTGAGGAAAGCTGAGCTTTGCTGATGGTTAGAATATTTTCATGTTTATGAATGACAGAGCTAATTGGAAAAAAAAGTGTAAAATCAATAGCAAAGATTTTGTTTTCTAATTTTCCTCCTTTCTTGCTGTGTCCTCCTGGATGTACTGAATCAGGCTGTAGCATTGTTTCCTAGGCCTCTGCTGATCAAGTAGTCTTCCTTGAGTGTCTGATCCGTGACCAATAGTAGCATGTGAATCGAGAGAAAGAGGAGCATCACACATAAATACCATCTCCATACCTTACATTGATGTGTGTGTGTCTGTGTCTATGTGAATGTGTGTATATATACAGGCACATTTTACAGGAGGGCTTCCAAAGTATAGATCAACAACAAGAATCTCAGCTGAATTTTCCTCTTTCATTGACTAGGTTCAAAAGTCCCCCATTGCCTTACTGGATGAGAACTCTGATGCGGAAGCAATAACTGAACTCAGGATGCTTCTGATCTGTTGAGATCAACCTGCATGTTATGCATCTTAACCATCAAACTGTCAGTGAAACCTTGCAAATTTGAAACTCACGTTTTTCTTCAAAAAATAACTTCTGTGTACACTAAGTTTTTTTCTCATAGATAACTTTAGGTAAATATGGGTGTGCATACATCTTATAGATGTGTGTAAATACTTTAGATCTGAATTTGTGTATAATTAGTATAGATATATGTGAGTGCATATGTTTAGATCAATATTGACAGGTGTTAATATTTTTCTCAAGTTGAGTATGCCCATTTGATATAGATATAAAGGCATAAATGATTGATATAGACATATTGTGTATATTATGTGGACATATCTGGATGCATTTATGCATACATGATATATTTTGTGTATGTTTTCTACAGATATTTTTCTCTGAATACAAACTAAGGTGTGTAATTGTTAAAATTCACTATATAGGGTGAACCTTATTTCTTGGATGTTCCCAAATACATTGACAAGCTCTGCAAGTTAATTTTTTTTAAATATTCCCTGTGCACTGCTTACCATTTCCAGAGCAAGGGAAATTTTACACATAGAATGAAAAGTAAACATGTTTATCTGAAGGGAGATTCTTTTAAACAGATTCATGCATCAAACCAGAGTAGCTGTTTCTAAACCATAGTATCAACAGGATAACTCTTCTATCATTGGGTCTCACTTTGTTACATTTACAATCATCAGAGCTGTTTGATGGTAGCACTAATATTCCCAATCTGAATAAGTTGTTTAAAAATTGAGATCTGATTATGTTACCATTTACACAGTCAGGCTGAGCTGTTGACAACTGCCAGTATGTATGTGTAGCATCTACGTTTTCTAACCTAAAGCAGAGTGCAAAGTATCTCTCTAGCTGGGATTTGCCCTAAGGCACAAGTAGACCATTTGTTTTGTTTTAATCTAGAGCTTTTGCTGCATCAATTACCATGTACTAATGAAGGTTCTGGACTGACACGAAACATGGAAAAGTTTCATGCTGGCTTTGAACTAATATGAATTTTGCTGGTGCCTTTCAAGGGCAAAAGGGGTAGAACTCCAGTGATAGCTCGAGAACTCTCCATAACTCTTACCCATCTTGACAAGGTGCGTATGTGGGCACAAAGTCTGCCCACAACCTTCCTCATAAGAATTTAAAGTATGAGTCTAAGAGCATGTAACACTGAAGAATGTCCAACTCCACTGCTCTTCCTGGATGGAAATTGTGATTTATCCCTTCTCCTAGCTCAGAAATTTGAGGTTCCACATGTTTACATGGACATTAAAGGATCCAACAACCTGCAAAAAAAAACTTGACCCTTTCTCCCTCAATAACATAATTTGCTGTCGTATTCTAGCCATTCCAAACTTGATTTGAAATCTTATTATGCACTCCTTATGCAGCAAACATATGCTTTGCAATTTGCTGATTATCTAGAGCAATAATCTCGGATTCTATACAGCTCCTCTGTTTGATCTCATCCTTGTCAGAACTATTATAATACATTGATAATTGTACAAACTGCATCAATCTGACACACTGAATGACAAACTTCCTACTTTTATAGGGCACAAACTGTTTAGCAGTACCAATCCATTGAAATTTTTGGATCACACTGGTGATTCCTTTTCATTGTACAAATCATTTTGCCTTTCATTTCAATTTAACCTTTTTTTAAACATTCATTTAATTTTAACAGCCCTCCTAATCTCTTACCTTCCATATTTGTCGAAATTATTTAAATATTGCTGTTCAACAATTGTTTCTGTTATTTCATACACTAGGCAAATTTTAATTTATGTAATAGAAAATATCAGGTGGCTTCAGTGCTTAGCAGCATCTTCTTGACCTAAGGCAACCCACCATATTACAAAAAAACCCACTACTGAGTGGCCATCTCCATTTCCTCCTTTCCAAGGGGGAAGAATGTGGTTGAAAGCATAATGTGGGAAATAAGGGATGCACAAACCATTGTACTCAACTCGCTAAAATTAATGGAAAGAAATTGAAGGGCTGAGTACTATCAATTTCCTACGAGCCACTCAGTATGAGTGCAGTTCTGAGTGGAAGTATCACATTATGGAACAATTCCCTCATGATTATAAACTCACGTGTCAACCAACCAGCAGTGAGGGTTTGAGACCAAGAAGGCAGAATAATTTTAGCAAATACTTCTAGCTCATTTTGATACCTTCTCATCTGGTGTCACTGTAACATGTAAGAATATCAAAGACCGACAAGTTATTATGGATGCAAAATATTTGAAGGAAATGTTGTAAACTTTTTTTTTGCAAAGTAGGATGTAACTTTGATGTTCTGACTAAGCTCTGAAAACAGATTAACTTTCAAGATCTTATTAATTCTGTGATTTCTTGCATTTCAGGTGCCTCAACACAGAACTCCAATACAGTGGAGCCAGAAAAACAAGTAGATAACACAGTGAAAATGGCTGGAGTTATCGCAGGAATCCTAATGTTCATCATCATCATGCTGGGAGTGATGCTGATAGTTAAAAAACGGTACGTTTTATGACAAAATATGTTCAGTTCACCATTTGCAGCAGAACTTTGTGACAAGGAAATAGACAGTACACGGATTTTATTTTGTAGAACCTTGGAAGGAAATTAGGCATGGAGGATCCTTTACCATAGCTTGGTGAATTGACTTGAATTTGAACAAATGTGTTTTAGATATTTATCTGGATAGCCTAGTCACGCTTGCATGATTGCAAGTAGTTGCAATCTTGTACAATTTATCCTGTCACTTCCAAGATGGATTTTGCTATAAATGCAACCTAATGATTTGACTCCTATTGGTTCCACTTAACTGACCAAATTTGGTGTCTGATGAAATTGACTTCATTTTCCTCGCAGTTGAGAATAGAAAGCCAATGAAGACAAAAAAAAACACTAAAGTCATGAAGTTAATAGATAAAAATTAAATTTTCAAATAAACATTTCTGATCCACATCTTCAGCCGATACAAAAGAAAACAAGTATTTTGTTTGTGTTTCCAAGAATTAGTCTGGTTTCCAGATTTTAGTAAAAGCTAAACAGTTCACACATTTTGAAGGAAGAATCCACATCACGTTTGAAATTAAGTTTAATGAAGTTTCAAGAGATTTGATAAGGTTAAGCTCACCACACCCTTTAAAATTTGTCTGTTCAGTTATTTCTTTCCCTTTATTCTCAAAAACTGATAACTAATTCCCTTGATGTGACAGCAAGGAAATGCACTGATTTATAGTGAATTGCGCATTCGGCAGACTTCAGGTCTATTGTATGGATTCTGTCAGCTGATTTCAACTCAGACAGTATGATGGCACATTTAAGCTCTAAACACCTAATCTGGAGGAAAAATGAGAAATTGGCCAGGATTCTTGTTTTTGATGGCTTATCTAGTGATTCCTGCTCATATGTGTCCCGAGTGCAGACCTGGTCAAAATTGAATCTGGTTCGACTAAGATACCCCTCGATCTGATTTTAAGATGTGACGGTGCTGGTGTTGGACTGGGGTGGACAAGGTCAGACATCACACAACACCAGGTTATAGTCCAACTGGTTTATTTGAAAACACAAGCTTTCAGAGTCTCGCTCCTCCTTCAGGTGTTAGATACCTGATGGGTCCGAGTGGTAACGATTCAGAGAGGACAAAAGCCAGCTCGAACTGCACTTTTCCTGCTTTTTACCAAAATGGGAGTAATACAATTCTACCTAGAATACGTATGCCCCACCCTGTACAATATCAGTTCAGGTGTTAGATACCTGAAGAAGGAGCGAGGCTCCGAAAGCTTGTGTTTTCAAATAAACCTGTTGGACTATAACCTGGTGCAGTGTGACTTATGATTTTAAAAAATAACACAAACACTCATTGTCAGAATTTATGCAACAAACAATAAACACTCAGTCAATGCACTGGGTGGCAGCTGATACCTGTAGAACCATACATTGTGGCCTTAAGGTTGACTTAAATCACACCAACTGCTGTAAAATAAGATTATTGTACAGGGTGGGGCATACGTATTCTAGGTAGAATTGTATTACTCCCATTTTGGTAAAAAGCAGGAAAAGTGCAGTTCGAGCTGGCTTTTGCCCTTTCTGAATCGTTACCACTCGGACCCATCATCCCTCTTCCTGTCCCATTGGCCCTGCCTCCTAACACCTCCCAGCTATCTGCGGCTGACCTGAAGGCCACTGCTGGCGACATAGCAGGCTGAAATCTGATTGGTTGACAAAGGTTAGACAAAGGAGAGCCCGTTGACGTGGTATGTTTGGATTTCTAGAAAGCCCTTGACAAGGTGCCACACAGGAGGCTGCTAAACAAGGTAAGAGCCCCTGGTGATAGGGGCAAGGTATTGGCACAGATCGAAGACTGGCTGACTGGCAGAAGGCAGAGATTGGGGGATAAAGGGGTCGTTTTCAGGATTGCAGCCAGTGACTAGTGGAGTTCTGCAGGGTCTGTACTGAGACCACAACTATTCACATTATACATTAACAATCTGGATGAAGGAACTGAGGGCATTGTTACTAAGTTTGTACATGACACAAAGATAGGTAGAAGGACAGGTAGTGTTGAGGAAGCAGGAAGCCTATACAAGGACTAAGAGAGGCTAGAAGAGTGAACAATGAAGTGACAGATGGAATACAGTGTGGGAATGTGTCAGGTAATGCACTTTGATCGGAAGAACAGAGCGTTAGACTGTTTCTAAATGGGGAAAGGCTTCAGAAATCTGAAGCACAAAGGGATTCGGGAGTCCTAGTTCAGGATTTACTTAAGGTTAACATGCAGGTTCAGTTGACCATTGGGAAGGCTAACTGCAATGTTAGCATTCATTTCAAGAAGGCTAGAATATAAGAGCAGGATGTATTACTAAGGCTGTATTAGGCTCTGGTCAGACCACATTTGGAATCTGAAGAGCAGTTTTGGGCCCTGTATCTAAGTAAGGATGTGCTGGCATTGGAGGGGTTCCAGAGGATGTCACAAGAATAATCCCGGGAATGAAGACCTTGTCATATGAGGAGTTCAGCAGGATAGTGGGGGGATCTCATTGAAAATTACAGAATACTGAGAGGCCTGGATATATCGGACATGGAGAAGATGTTTCCTCTTGGAAGAGAGTCCAGGACCCAACAGCACACCCTCAGAGTGAAGGGGCAACCCTTCAGTACTGAGATGAGGATGAATTTGTTCAACCAGAGGATGGTTAATCTGTGGAACCCATTGCTGCAGTAAGCTAAGGAGGCCAAGTCATTGTGTATATTTAAGCCAGAGATAGATATATTCTTCATTAGTAAACGGATCAAAGGTTATGGGCAGAAAGCAGGAGAATGGGATTGAGAAATATATCAGCCATTTTCAAATGTCAGAGTAGACTCAATGGGCAGAGTGGCCTAATTCTGCACCAAAGTGTATGGTCTCAGGTGTCTGGGCAATCCCAGCCAGTACCTGCAGCTTGGTGGGTTAATTTACAGGAGGCATAATGGCCCAAAGCAGATGTATCTCAGGCACACCAATTCTGGGACAGGGATTGCTCATAATATCTCGACTGGTATCTTCAGGACAAGGTGGATGTGAATTAGGAGAGAAACCAAAACAACAAGTGGGAATTAAGTGGGAATTTGCATGTAGTGTTTGGAATTTTACATGCACACGACTATTCTCATTAAGGAAATGGCTCGATGCATAAATGTTTCATTGCATGTTTGTGCTCAACTACTTCACATCCAATTCAGAACATGGTTTCCTTTCATATTCAGCATTGGGCATATACGTGTTGGATGTTAGCGGAATGGGAGGGGGGAGCGAGAGGTGAGACGTACAGATGGTGAGGTGGACTAATCCCAAGCAGGATCTGATTCTCGGCCCAGGGGTGAGTGGGGTACAGAAGCTGGAAAAGGGTGTTCAGTTCCAGTAGTCTTTGATCCAGAGGTGTCTGCCAATTCAAATTTCAGAATGGGAAGGCCAATTCTAGGGTCCTAGTTTCTATTTCTTGTTGGCATTTGGTATGGGGTAGATGTTTAACATTAGAAGTCAGTGCAAGATTGGGCATTTGGGGATCAGACACTTCAGGAGGGGAGATAAGAAGCATTGGGGGAGAGGTTTGAGATCTTGGAGAACAGATTGGGAATGTTTGGGGTACATTAGAGCTTTTTGGGAAGTTTGCAATTCTATGAAGTTTGATGGAGGACAGAAACCTCTGAAGGGATGTCGGAAGGGTTGGATGAAGGTGGGGTCAATTGTTTAATGATGGGGAATTGGCAATACAGGAAGACTGGATCCAGCAGCCAACTGGAAAGGCACTTCCCTCCTGGATCCAGCAATTGCTACATGCCATAGCCACCAGATTTTACAAAGTCCATTATATCCATCTGGCCAGTGTCACACCTGAAAATATGGATAAAAATGAGGCACCCAGCCCCATTATTTCCATTAATTGACAACTCAATGAAGTGGATTTATTATCTGCCTCCAGATTAAAGGTAATTTGGAGAAATATTTTACAGATTAAAAAACAAAGACCAGTAGGAAATGTAAAAATACAAATTAAAAACTGATTAAATAATTTGGAAACGCAGGGCCAGGCAATGTGTTGTACTTGCCTGTGGGAGCTGGTGGACCCCATCGTAGTTCATAGCTGCCAAATCTGTAGCAAATGTTGGTTATTTGAGGAACTTTGGCTCAGTGTTGATAAGTTCGCGTCTGAGCTTCAAATACTACAACACATCAGGGAAGGGGGATGTTACCTGGATGTTGTGTTTCAGGAGGCAGTCACATTTGGCCAGTGGTCAGGTACAGAAGGGTGTGACTTCAAATGAAGCAGGTAGAAGGATCTTAAATTTAACATTGGGGGAGGATCACCTATTGACCTTATCCAGTAGGTGTAGGGTACTTGCTCCCTGTGTGGATAAGGAAAAGGTCTGTAGGGAGGATGGGCAAACTGACCACTGCCCCCATCGTTGTACAGGAGACCATTCAAGTAGACAGTGTTAGTGGTGGGGAATTCTATAATTAGGGAGACAGATAGCACCCTTTGCAAGCAGTATCGAGAGTCTGGCATGATGTGTAGCCTATCTGGTGCCAAGGTAAGGGACATTTCAAGTGGCTTGAAAGGATATTGGAGTGAAAGGGAGAGGATCCAGTTGTTGTGATTCATTTTGGGACCGAAAACATTGGCAAGAGTAGGCAAGAGATCCTGTTTGGGAAATACCAGGAATTAGGATCTAAATTAAAGAACAGGACCTCAAGGGTTATAATCTTTGGAATATTATCTGAGCCATGTTCAAATTGGCATAGCAATAAGTAAATTAGAAAGTAGACTCATGGCTAAAAGCGTGATGCAGGGAAAAAGGTTACGTTTCATTGGGCATGGCTTTAGGAGAGGAGAGAAGTTTATTGTTGGGCCAGGCTCCACCTGAACTGACCTGGGACCAGTAACCTAGCGGAAAGGCTAAATGAGGCAGTCTCAAGGACTTTAAACTGGTAAATGATGGCGAGATCTTGGAGGAAGTCAGTACAATTT